AATAGTTAACAAATAGTTAATTACATTCTTTGGTGTGAATCCAGTTTGGATCTAAGGAACGCCACAATAATTGAAATGATTACATAAGTACAAGCCGTCCCTAAAAATCATTAATTCAAACAAATAGTTAACCAAACATTATATGATAGGAGAATCTAATGTCAAACATTATCATTGAATTCACAATACCTGTGTATATAAGGAATTGAATGAAGTATTTCTGATTGAGTTCTCCGACACAGTTATTAATCCTAAAATAAAATGCAGATTAAGGCATAAAACGGGGAAATATTAGTATTAAATGATAAAAGTATTGACTTAAGAAAGATTGGGAATGTAGGACAGGGACGCCGGGTTGGTGTTCAGGCATGTCATACATGACACAAATGCATACAGTATTTGGGTTTATAGTCAATTAACACTAATTTAACTGAATTAATAAAACGGCAAATAAAATAACTAAACAACTGATCTAGCTAAATAGTATATAAATAGCTGCATTCACTAAAACACTCGCAAACAGTTAGAGGGGCGGGTATGTGATACCAGGGGCGGGTATGTGATACCAGGGGCGGGTATGTGATACCAGGGGCGGGTATGTGATACCAGGGGCGGGTATGTCATACCAGGGGCAGTGGTGATCCATTTTGCGGACACATCGCTGACAGATGCGGCAGTGATGAGCTCTGGGCGGCCGATACATCTGACACCTGACACACACCGACCAGTTGTGGTCGTTGTCGTCCTTCTTGGACAGCAACTGTTTGCAACTCACGTCCAGTCCATGGGTCGGATGGGGGACAACACCCGGGTCTGAGACGGACGCCTTCAGGTGCGACCACACCAGCAGAGCCAGTATGACCTGGAAGACCGATATACTCGACACCATTGTCCAGACACTGGGAGATAATGATGGGTTAGTGGGGATGAGGTGGTGATGGCAGTGATGGACACATACTTGCAATTGAGTGGCAAAACAATCCAATTGAACTTGCGTATCAGGCACATATATTACTAGTGTATATACCTGTGTTGTGTATGCTATGGTGTGCCTAGCGTTGCTTTGGAGTTGAGTCTACGGTAAGTCAGTGTGTAGTGTAGGTCGCCTGGTGGTCAGAAGACACTCGTATATAATCAGCCATTCATCACATCAATGATTGCAAAAACAATGACACAATTGAGGGACAGATAGCAGAGGAAAGTGAAGTGAAAGCAGAAACTAAGGGATCGTTTTCATAGTATAAGTGGCCGTATATTGCAATGCATTCTCTATGCCAATGGTATAGTCTATGAGGAAATCAATCAAATTGACCAAATATTTTCACTTTGTTATTATCATTATTTATAAAACACTTTACAGATTACATAATTATAAAAATAATACATTAGTACATAAACAATATACAGTATACGGTCATGAGTTAGAGGTTATCAGTCTATGACTGTGCCATGGGTTCAGAGTCTGAATCAGATGCACCACCAGTTTGTCTCATTTGATCCAAGAATCTCCAACCTTCGAGCAAACTCTTTGTATAATTGTCCACATTTTGGTCCAAATACTGTGAATCTTCTAATCTCTTAAAATTATCGACGAGTTCTTGTTCAAAATATCGGCCATCACTTAGAAGTTCATTGAGAGTAATGCGCGACTTCTTGCCTATTGGGTCGGGCGGAAGAGTCGGTGCCACTGCAACCAAATCCCTGCAGTGACACTCATTGGCCACTAATTTACAGACCCTATCAGCACAGCAATGGACACACTGTCTGATGTCGTCCAACTCAACCACTTTTGCTTTTTCAATATTAAACAGGAAGTCATTCACAACTTTCAAGTATTCTTTCACTTCAGTGCTTAGCGTAAAGTCTTTAGAACCCAATCCTGACGCACACGTCCTGTCCCTAAAGTGACCGACACTTAACTGTCCATTCATTGGGTCCGAACGGTTCCAATAGAAGTCTTGCATAAAAATATCACCGAATTGTGTCACANGCCCCTGGTATCACATACCCGCCCCTGGTATCACATACCCGCCCCTCTAACTGTTTGCGAGTGTTTTAGTGAATGCAGCTATTTATATACTATTTAGCTAGATCAGTTGTTTAGTTATTTTATTTGCCGTTTTATTAATTCAGTTAAATTAGTGTTAATTGACTATAAACCCAAATACTGTATGCATTTGTGTCATGTATGACATGCCTGAACACCAACCCGGCGTCCCTGTCCTACATTCCCAATCTTTCTTAAGTCAATACTTTTATCATTTAATACTAATATTTCCCCGTTTTATGCCTTAATCTGCATTTTATTTTAGGATTAATAACTGTGTCGGAGAACTCAATCAGAAATACTTCATTCAATTCCTTATATACACAGGTATTGTGAATTCAATGATAATGTTTGACATTAGATTCTCCTATCATATAATGTTTGGTTAACTATTTGTTTGAATTAATGATTTTTAGGGACGGCTTGTACTTATGTAATCATTTCAATTATTGTGGCGTTCCTTAGATCCAAACTGGATTCACACCAAAGAATGTAATTAACTATTTGTTAACTATTTGTTAATTATTGAGTTGTTTTGTATTTTAAATTTTGTATTTCGCTATACTTTATCGATTGAATAACATTCAAATGTATGATATGTTACTATATCTCGAATAGGATACACACGAGTGTATTACTCATTGAAGCCCTGCTATTCGGTCTGTTTGTGGTGGCAGTGCTCACGGATCAGGTAATCAAATATCAAATATTTAATTTGGGCAACATTTTCATTGAATTAATGTTTACATTATTTGATTGCGTAATCAAGTTTCAGGCCATTTGTGCCAATGAGACCGCGATTGATAGGTATTTGACTCAACACTCATCCAAAGCAAACAAAACCCAAAATAAGACTAAACTCAAGTCCAAGAAATTAATGGCAGAGGTGTGCGGAAAGGGACCTATGATTTGGTGGCTCTTTCCATGCGATCTTAATCAACGATACAATAAAACAGACAATAATTCACATTTCGTTGTATAATGTTTGATATCACACACACATTACTCGCATTTCTATCAATCATTAGTTCAAACAAATTGTGATACAAATTATCAATCAATTTATGCATAATATAAGTCATACTAAGTATTATATAACCTATACACTTTTACCGTAAATGTCTTATCGATTTAGTATAAAAGTCATCGATGTATAGATTTTGTGCAATTTTTTTATTTTAATGAAACCAGATTTTATTTTATTAAGTTTGAGATTAATATTATTTGTAATTATTATATAATTATGATATGTATTTAAATTAATTTTAAATTGCTATATAAATATTTAAAATATTATTTATATAAATATTCTTTAAGATTAAGAATAAATAAAATTTTTGAATTTGTAATTAATAGACAATTTTGAATCATTTGATGCTAAATATTATAAGGAATTGAATGGAAAAGAAATTTATTATTTATTGTATTCTGTATTCACTGTAAAGTGGTTCTAGTTTTTTGAATTGCCTTTTGTTAAGTATTTTCTTTCATAAGAGATGTGTTTTGATTAAAAAACTAATTTATCATAAATTGTGTAAAAATAGAAAAATAGCGAATACCATAAGTTATGGTTAAAACTAAAATTAAATTAAAACTCCATTTGTTTTTCTCATAACAGCATATTTAATGGCAAGGTACAAATATTGAGTGAAGTAAATGCACTAGTACAGATGTGTATTGTATTTGTTTTTATGTATTGATATTTTGTATTACAAAATGAATGTTTGAATTCAATCGATAAGTTATTTAATACAAAGGAATTCTATAATGAGATGTGTTTGACTACAAAACAAGTCGTTTTTTGTTTTTTATTACAAAATTTAAATACTATTTATAAAGAAAAGTTATATTATTATATTAATATAATATATGGAGTATTAATATATATATTGGTATTAAATAAATTAAAATAATATCAAATACTTGATTTATTACAAAAGGCCTAATGCAATAAATTAACACAATTCCTCGATATTCTCAATACAATACTCAAAATTCTTTCATTACATTCAATCAATAAATATGTTCACAAAACTATTTCTAAGCGCCTTGTCGTCAAAATTAGAGAATCAATAATTCTCACAGAATTCTGCTTAATGTGTAAAAGATTGTTACTTTACATACAACAACTAGGACATTCGGTTGAATTATTAAATATTATGTTTATAAATATTGTAATATTTTATACATATTTATGAATTAATGTTCTCGAAATTGAAATATTCACCCAAAAGTTCATTTGTCAAAATATGGCAAAAAAATGTACCTGAAGATAAATGTCAACCAATTCAATCATTTTCATAAACATTTACATCACATTCATTGATTTGGTTGGCGTATTAGTTAATTGTATATAAATTAAATGAATTAAACTTATAAATAATGTAAATTATTATAGTAGATATGAATACAGAATAATTGTAAAATATATTTAAAAGAATCAAGCAAAAAACAATGAGTACATTCAATTGTAAGCACCGGTAGTTTAAGCAGCTTTAGTGGAGGCCGTGGTGTTGCCGTTGGACACCTTTGCACTGTTCTCTTTGGGATTATCGGATTCTTTGACAAAATAGGTGTAAATAAGACCGAAACAGACGACAATAAAGTGAAAGACATGCGATGCGATCATCACTTGACTTCCAGTCCACCAGTTTTCGGAGATCCGGTAGTGCGCGATAAACCAGATGATGGTCAGCAGGATCATTGATGTGTGCAGAATATATTTGTGGCTTACGATCACTCCGATAATCACCAGAATAACGATGGCCTCCTCTAACAGAGTGTTGAAAATGATCATACCTTTCATGCGATTGAATACTTGTTTGTCGTAAACAAACTTCGGTCCCCTTTGGTCTGTTGACGACTTCTTGGTCTGTGCGTCCAAATCGGAGATATCCTTAACCGTCTGCACCGACAGTACAATCCATAATATCATTAACACAGCGATCAGTGCAATGAAACAGATTTTCGAAAGCAGTCCCAACTTTGAACGAAATTCTGGCATTTTTGAACAAATCAGACAAATACTGTTGTTTTGTGCGACAAATATGTTGTAATCATATATTCTGTTTGACTGCAGAATTCAATTGAATGGCGAATGAATGCTTTATAGGGAATAAAAGTTTCGTTTAATATAGGGTTGTCTTTCGTAAGTATTCTTGTGGTATGTCTTTGAACCACCGCTGCCTTGGAAACAGTATTTAGTTATAACTTATTACTACTCTTTCTTCGCATTTTTATTCAACACAAAACTAAAACATAAACAATAAAAATGTAAAAACAGAAATATTTATGAAATTCTTGTGTGAAAACAACAGGAATTGAAAACAATGTACTTATCATGGGGTCAAGTAGTCTACAATTCTTATGCAATCAATTTCTGAAGTATTAGCTTTCATTCAGTAGTATTTTAAATATTTTCTTAAATACTATTAATATTAACCCCCTATTAAAAATTATTACCATGATCACCTTCTAGTTATTGAATATTTGATTAATTAATGAATAATAGGAAGGAAACATTGAGTGCGGGGGTTAAATTTTGTTAACAATTGTAAACAGGATAATTATATTTTAAATTAAGTAATAGCAAAAACTCTAATTCTAGTTATTTTTAAAAGAAATTTAGTACTGTACTATTCTTTACTAATTAAAGTATGTAATAGAAATTACTAAGTTTAGTAAATTATATTAATTAAAATTTAGAAATTTTATCTCAATTAAAAGGTTTATGGTAAACTGAAAACATGTGAAAATGAAAAATTATGTTGTTGACTACACACACATTTTTACATTAATTAATTGAACATTAATTACATCTACAGAAATACAATATAAGACTACATTTTGCTTAACATACTAACAGACATTAATTAAATGACAAAAAATGAATGAAAAAACATTTTAGACTAATTGCATAAAACATATCGATTCACAGCAAAAACTATTTACTGTTAATAAAAACGTTATGTTAAATGGATTAGTTGTGCTCTAATAGTGTATAC